TCGTGCTTGTTTTTAAAGTTTTTCGTACATGTAAAGTTTATATTGCACTTAGGACAAATTCGCATGCGCGAACCCAATCGACTATTTCACTCTTACACGTTATGTTATAATCACATTCAACTCAGTTAAAATAATTTATTTACTATTGTACACTATCACATTGACATTGAAAGTTTTCAAGCTAAAATGTATAAATATTGTCACCTGTGTATTGCTCAACGTCTGTGTCTGACGGTGAATTGTTAATTTCTCTTACCATTCAATATTTGCCACCTTACCATATTTTTTATTTCAAATAATTATATATATATATATATATATATATATAATTCTTGGTAAAAATTTGACACGGGTCAGTTATATTATACTTATATTGTAAATATTACAAATATTATGGTAATATTTACTATAAAAATTATATTCCTAACTATAATATTTTTACTATGCCATTATAATTCTAAATATCATACATTTTTCTCTCAGTACGTTAGCCTGTGAGAGGCTAACTATTTATCTTTATATCTCAGCAACTAAGCCTCGGGTAACATTTTACAAGAGGAAAAATAGTCTTAGAATTCGCTCAAAAATAATATTAACCGAATGCAATTGTTTCCGATCATCCTGTATGTAAAGCTAACGACGTTTATAAGCAAATAAAAGTCTAAAACTTAATGTGCAGGAAGTAAAGATACATACACAGTACGAACAATTCACTACGTTGTTCAGGAAACTCGCAAACGCTCACGCTACCAATGCACTATCTCGCAAGCAATAGTATTGGTAGCGCGAAGTCATGACGTAGAACATTACTGTCAGTGACGTCACGATAATGATTGATAGTGCTACTAACTAGCTCCCCGAATAGCGGTAGCGCTAAATAACGCTAGTAGTGTGTTCCTCGAACACATTTTAAGGCTGCGTTAAGCTATTTAGCGCTAGAAACGTGTTCTGTCTTTACTTACTAAAAGTTGAAAGGACAGAACGCGCTCAAAGCGCCTCCTAAAACGCAGCCTAAAGACATAGACATAGACATGTCTCGAGCTTGTCGATTATTATCTAACGCCGATTTCCAAAACGCCCGAGCCTGTCTATTGAAAAAAATTAAAAGGAAGTTTAAAATGGGTTCTGTGAGCTCTAGGAACAAATGCTATATGGATCTGGAATCACTGATTAGAATAAAACTCATGTAATTACTCGAAATTTATATTTATTGTCTGTGTGTGTGTGTGTGTGCACGTAAAATTTTTAAAGCATTTTTCTCGAAACAATATTTTTGCAATCAGCCTCCGATTTTAATTAAACTAATAAGTGCACAATAAAAAAACATTTTGTATTAAAACTGAGTTTTGTTAACATCTTCCTGATCAATTTTTTTTTAAATTATGTTTATTATCTTACACTCATATTATTCATATTATCATACATTTATATTATATTCATCTTATATTCATTACCTTACGATACATATATAAAGTGTATCTACAATTAGAATAAAAATAATATAGTAAATAAAGTAAATGACTCAAAAAGGCAAAGTTCCCAAATTCAATCGCATCTATAGCAAATATGATATGAATCATTTCATATAAAATCATTGACACTTTAAAAACAATATAAAAAAAACAGAAATAAAAAATAATAGAATAGAAATATATTTCTTATTCTGTAACATTTTTGTTATATTATTGATATTTTTGTTATTGTATTTAACATTATAAATATGTCAATTTTACTTAAAATTTGCTTTAAAATAATATCGGTGTTAATTCTTTTGTGTTAATTGCTGATATAATATTTGTGTTACTTTTTAATATATTGATTTTGTGATAAATTAACGCAAAATTGTTTATTGTACTGGTCAGCTTGTGCTTATAAGTGTCCACAACATGTCTTATAGTTAAAACTTAAAAGATTAAAATATGTTAATTTTATTCTACTTATTTGATGCAAAATAGTCAATTTTTTAGAAATTCTTTTTACCAGAATTTTTACATTGTTAAAAAAATTGAGAAAATATTCCGATTTTTATTTCTAACGATAGTCACACATCTATAGATTAATAATCTTTTTCGTTTTTCATGTTTCTGGTATCTGTTTATTAGAAAATCATAGGAGCCAACATTATGCACGTTCGGACTCTTTTCTAGAAATTTTCTATATATTTTTTTTGTGTTTATCAATATTTTTTAAACAATTACTGTACATAGTTTAGACTTATAACAAAACTTCAAATAAATAACTTTTCACAATTTTCGTAAAGGATGTTAAAAAAAGGATTCAAGATTTACAGGGTAGATTGTACTCATACTAAAAAAAATGTTAGTAAACCGATCGAAAAATCAATCCTCTTAGAATTACAAATGTTTTTCTGTTTTAATAACGCAAATAACAAGTTATCTGTGTGGTTCCATTAAATAAACAAACGTCCGGTGAATTAACGAACGAATATGTTACTAATTACTAATATTTATAAAAGATGTCTACGTACGCTCTTTCAAAAGTTTCTTGTCTTTTTCTGTTTATATATTTTCTGGTATATATATTTCTGTTTATATTTTTATGTTTTTATAAACAATAATATTTATGTTATCATCTTATTCAAGTGTTCTACACTATAATTCTTACGATCAGTGGTCGTACAGTGTTCAAGAGACGCGACAACGGATCATATAGCTAAAATATTTCCATTGGTAAAATCGTACATGAAATACATGTCTGCCGATTTGAATAATAAACTGATATAATTGAGGGAATTCCTACTACTTCTTTTATAAACATTAAAGCAATAATATAGATTCTCGTTCATTTATAAACATCAAAGCAATAATATAGATACTCGTTCATTTTAACGCTACTTTAGATGTCAACTTTTTAACATTTGTATATTCTATATTTCAGAAGAATCAGTGCATGCTTCATACACATTAAAACTAAAATTCTATTTAACGCCTAAATGGGAGAAAACGCAGAAAAAGCCACTTATAGGTTCTAAAAAGGACCTCTCGGCAAAGTTAATAGATTAAATAGAATCAAAATAGCTTCATATAGGCTGCAGAATATCAAAAAAGGCATTAAGTGGGGTATTCAAACTAAAAGTAGGATCAAAATTTCGACTCGGGATCAGTGCATGTGATATATGTAATACATATGGAAAATAAAGTCCTATTAAGCACCTCTAAATGATAGAACATGCACAAAATGCTACTTGTAGGTTCTAAAAAGATCCTGCCGACAAAGCTGTAGATTAGATGCAATCAAAAGAGATTAACGTAGACTCGGAGTATTAAAGTAAGCGTTAAATGGAACGTTGAGGTTGAAATTAAGATCGAAATTTCGACTCGGGTATGTTTATAAATGTGTATGGAAATAGAAATTTGCACCTTTAAGGTTTCTAGCCCCTTGCATTGTCTATCTTTTTTTAATGACGCCAGAAGCGAGAAAATGCATACTAAAAATTCTTGCGAAATACATTGAAATAAAAATATATATCCATAAAGTAACACTTGCAATCGATTAAACAAATTTGTAAGATATTCCGTGCACTCCCCTTTTGCTCTAACAATCAATAATTTCGACTGTAAATTAATCTGAATAGAAATAGGCAAAGAAATAGGTTAAGAAGATGAATTGTATGTCACATTAATTTATGATAAATTATTGATTATTAGAGCAAAAAGAAAGTGCACGGAATATCTTAGAAATTTATTTAATCGATTGCAAGTGTTACTTTATGGATATATATTTTTATTTTAACGTATTTCGCAAGAATTTTTAGCACGCATTTTCTCGCTTCTGACGTCATAAAAAAGAGATAGACAATATGGAGGGCCAGGAGCCTTAAGGGTCGATTGTTCCAATTTCTTGGTAAACTACCTAACAATTAAATCATGAGTTTGTCTCTGGCCAAATCTAAAACGAAGACAGATATATGATTTAACTGTCAGGTAGCTCACCAAGAAATTGGAATAATCGGTCCTAAATGATAGAAAACACACAAATTCTATTTGTAAATTCTAAAGAAAACTTGTTGACAAAGTTAGTAGGTTAGTAGGTTAAATAGAATCAAAAGAAGTTGATATAGATTTCAGAGTATCAAAGCAGATATTAAGTGAAATATTGAAGTCGAAAGTAGGATCAACATTTATACTTGGAATATTTCGGCGCCATATTGGTCCTTTGGAATGGAAATAAATACAAGTATAAGTTACATAATAAAGTATGATAAAGCAAATAAGACGTCAGATTCAAAATCCATCGAGAAAGCAGTTCAACCAATATCGCGTAAACAGTTTCAGACATTCCGAGTAGAAATTTTAGTTCTGCTTTTTAACATCTGTATATTTTGAAGGATCAGTGTATGTTTAATACATATTAAATGGTAGAAAACACACAGAATACCACTTGTAGATTCTAAAGAGGACTTCTCGGCAAAGCTAGTAAATTAAACAGAATTAGAAAAGATTGATATAGACTTCAGAATATCAAAGTAGACGTTAAATGGAATATTGAGTATGAAAAGTAGAAAATTGTAATTCGAGACAGCACAGAGACGATAGAAATACATAAATGATATTAACCCCAAAAACTGTCTGACAATTCGAGTCGAAGTTTGAGAAACTCTGGCGAGTAATAAAACTGCTTACGTTTTTCCTGAATCCTCCATTACAATAGTGACGCCGGATATCTCGTATACTGTCACTTCAGCTCCTATCATAACCCTGCGCAAGCCCGTCAATAGCAGCTCTCAATCGTGATAGTTTAACGAGCATCTTACTTACATTGTGTCTAATCGTTTTGCAACCAAGTATTCACGTGACACCACTGAACAGATTTCCCGAAACGCCACCGAATCGCTCTACCGATTAAAGTATATATACCGCGACATTCGTATCGCGATCGCGATGTTCGCGATTTCATCATCGCGAATGGATATGGCGGTTCGCAACCGGTTAGAAATGTCAACTCGTCAGAATTATATCTGGCCCTCAAATCAGACTTACCTCTGCGAATGGCAGCGGGACTGGGGGTGGCCAGGAGCAAGAGGAATATGGCGAAAAATCCCCAGCCCCAGCTACCGAGGAGTACCGGCACAGGCATTCGTGGCATTCCCGGGGACAAGTGCCGAGGCTGTCAAAATACCTCTGCTTCCTCCCTTATCTCCATTTGCCTCTCTTCTCACCGGGATACCTACATGTGCACACACAAACAGGCCACAACACAAAAATCGCTCGTACGAATGACTACGGCTTGCCGCCGTGCCGCTGGCCGTTACCGCTAAACTCGCGCTAACGTCGATCTCACGCTTAAACTCGCCGTAGGAAACGATTAAACGTGCAATCAAGCAATTAAACCGCGTGTAAAACGCCGCCTCTTGCTGCTCTCTCATTATATCCGGACAAAAGGGACTCTTTGTTCGAACATCATGCATTAAAATACAAATATGAATATTCAAATCGCTATTTGCACGCACGAACGGGCGTTAATCAGCTTGTCGTGCGAGAGAAAAGAAGGAGAAAAAGAGAGAGAAAGAGAGAGAAAGAGAGAGAGAGAGAAAGAGAGAGATAGAGAGCGAAACTGTTATGCGGGAAATCGCTGATTCGAATTTCGGGGGGAATCTCCGATCACGCTCTCCGTTTTGCGCGATCGCACCGTTTGCGCTACTCGAGAATGATATATCCGTATAATACGAGCGATTGGATGGGACACAGACGTGAGCGCGCGCTAACATATGAGTGCATCGTATTATCATTTCCCCAAAGGACAATAAGGGACGCCGCATGGTTTGCCAGATGGGTCGAGCATACCGGAAGGGCCTCGTTCGTACGTCCATGCCGAGAGAGCGGGGTGATAATTGGTTAAATCCGCGTTGGCTATCGACAACAGTACTTCACCTCCGGAATTTTCTCTCTCTTTCCCCGCGCTCTCTCACTCTCTGTCACTCTTTATTTCTGTCTCTCTTTCTCTCTCCTTTTCCATTCACCGGCATTAACTCCTTCTTCCTTTATCTTTCATCTCTCGCACGTTGCTGTGCTCTGTCTCTCTCTCTCTCTCTCTCCCCTCTTTCTGTTCCTCTTTTTCTTTCTGCCGAGGATTTAATATGGCTCTTTTTTTTCCGGTGCAATATGTTCGCGTATACGTTATCCCGGTGACAGTTTGGCGTGTCGCTTGAAGAAGATCTAAATATTCGATGAGCCCGGGGAAATATATAACAGGCGCGAGAATATGCCGCCACGGATCCGACTGAAATCCACCCGAAGGGCCAAGGTCGCGAAAATTGTTTTTTTTTTTTTGCTCCCGATGACTCCGCGGTCTCCGGAGTCCGCCCGTTCGCGGATCGATGCGCATTCGCGGATTTTTCGATTCTGCCGGCGTGCGGAATCGAATAAAGGCGAGCGCGTGCCGGAAATGCCGAATGAACTCCGCTTCGCGGTTAGCGCATCAGCAATTTAGATCGCGCGTTGATTACGCGCGTGCATACTGGATGATGCGTCCACAGGCGCGCATTTGGAAACAAAACAACCAGCCGAGCGACAAAGAGAAAGAGAGAGGAAGGGGAGAGAAAAGAGAGAGAGAGAGAGAGAGAGAGAGAGAGAGAGAGAGAGAGAGAGAGAGAGAGAGAGAGAGAGAGAGAGAG